CTCTTAAGATTTATTTATTATGTATACAGTGTTCTGCATGTATCCCTTGCAGGTCAGAAGAGGGCACCAGATCTCATTACAGATGGTTGTAAGCCACCATATGGTTGCTGGGAATTGAACTCAGGACCTCTGGAAGAGCAGCCAGTGCTCTTAACCTCTGAGCCATCTCTGCAACCCAACCATAGCAACTCTTTTAATTGGGGCTGCGGGAGTGGAAACAGAGTTCTACATTTTGTGTAGGCAACAGGAAGTTAACTGAGAAACTGGGCATGTCTTAAGGATATATGAGACCTCAAGGCCACACCTCCTAATAGTGCCTGTGAGCTTATGGGGGCCTGATTGTATTCAAACTACCACACAGGGTGATGTTTTCTGACTTAAAATTCTTTTTTGTTAAGTAAAATTGGAGAAGAACAGTCCCCAGAAGATGCAGAAGATGGCCCACCAGAGTTGCTGGTATGTTACAAACCTTCAGGCACTTTGGGATCTTTTTGTTGTTGTTGTTGTTGTTGTTGTCTTGTTTTGTTTTTTTGGTGGCAGGGGCTTTTGAGGCAAGGTTTTCTCTGTGACTTTGGAGCCTGTCCTGGAACTAGCTCTTGTAGACTAGACTGGTCTCAAACTCACAGAGATCCCCCTGCCTCTGCCTCCTGAGTGCTGGGATCAAAGGTGTGTGCCACCACTGCCCAGCTTGTCTTCTGTGTTTGTTTGAGCTGTGATTTAATGTTGTCTATGTTTCAATATCTTTGTTTTCATCCCTCTTCAGTTTATTCATGGTGGTCACACTGCCAAGATATCTGATTTCTCCTGGAATCCCAATGAGCCTTGGGTGATTTGCTCTGTATCAGAAGACAATATCATGCAAGTGTGGCAGATGGTAAGTGTGCAGCCATTTATTTAGGGGACATTAGATACATGAGGCCATCATTACACACACACACACTTTGGGTACAACTGCCATCTCTGCCCTGCTTTCCTCAGCTGTGTTTTTATGTGTAATTTTCTCTGGTAGTTTGTTTTGTGTTTTTTGGGTTTTTTTGTTTGTTTGTTTGTTTTTTGTTCTTTTTGAACAGTTTCTCTGGGTAGTCTTGGCTCTCTTGGAACTCTGTAGACCAGGATGGCCTCAAACTCAGAGATCTGCCTGCTGAGTGCTGGGATTAAAGGCAATGCGCCACCACTGTCTGGCTGACTTCTTTTCCTTCATCTGATTGTGCCACTGCTTGTTTTTAGTTTAGCTAATAAAAACTGTTGTGATGCTGCAGCACTAGTGTGCCTTTACTTACCTCTTAGATTTCAAAGATACTACCTGTAATCCAGCACTCATGAAGCTAAGGCAGGAAGGATGTTGCGAAAATAAGACCCTGTCTATATAACCCAGAAAAAAAAGAGACAGGAAAATAGTATTAGAAATAGAGACAATTACTGGAAAACTCACTTCTCAGAATGGAAATGGGTCCCGGTCATTTACACAGTGTAGTTTCCATCTAGTCCACATCCCAGAGCTTTTGGGATTTCTCTTGCACAGCTCTTGTTTTGTTCCATATAAGACAAGGATGGGATTCTAGTCATTCTGCTAACAGGCTGCTTTTGTGTGTTAATCTTGATGTCTTTCTCAATACATTTTGCTGCCCCAAATCCCACTTTTGAGGGCTGTGTTGTCAGAAATTGTAACTTGGCTGAAGATGCAACAGTTTATTAGTGCCCTTGTATGTTTATTTTGAAGTTGTCATAGCGTAGACACGATTTCTTTTACAAGATTAAAAATACAAGGTTTAGGTGGGTCATGGTGGCAGATGCCTTGAAACTCAGAAGACAGGTAGGCAGATCTGAGTTTGAGGCCAGCCGGATCCACAGGGTGAGTTCCAGGACAGCCTAGACTACGCAGAGAAACCTCATCTGGAAAAACAAAATAAAAGATTTAATAGGAATAACATGGTTGTTCCAACTCATACCTCTGAAAGCATAAGAGCCAAGAAAGTCTGGCCTTGCTTGTCTCTGGAGAGCATTCTCATGTAGCTTGCTCCTGGGTTGTGACTCCTTGAACTGTTTAAGTATTATATGTGTTCTGATGGTTATATGCTGAGGGTGTGGTGAAATACAAAAGAACAAGGTTGTAACTGGTAAAAGAAAAAATAGTGAACATCAAACCATAAAGCGTTGTTTTTAAGATAGTGTTGAGGCTGTGGAGACTTCAGGGATTTTTTTCTTGTACTGTTGCCTTCATTTATCTGTATGCGTGTGCACTCTGTGCATGAAGTGCCTCTGGAGGGCAGAAGAATGCATCAGATCCCTGGAAACTGGAGACTGATGGTAGTAAATACCATGTGGGTGTTAAGAACTGAACCTGGGGCCTTTCACTGCTGAGTTGTCTCTCTAGTCTCCGGTTAAGGGTTGTGTTGCTGCTGTATTTGTTTAAGAAAGGATCTCACTGTGTGGAATCTCTACTTCATAGCAGTCTACCTGCCTAGTTTTAGTTAGAGGGCAGCCAGGACTACCCAGAGAAACCTTGCCCTTGGTTGTGGGGATGGGTGGAAAAAGGAAAGGTTGCAGAGGGTGAACCAGATCCCCTCCAGGGTCACTGCCTCTATTGTGGGTTATGTCCATATAATAAGAGGTAGTGCATCTTGGACCTTGTCCTTTTTTGGCATAGAACTGCTAACAAACCATTGGAATTTCCAGCTCAGTTGCCATTGATTATGTGGCCCCTTTGGGCCACACTGGAGTCTGTTAACTACGGTTTTAGTTGAAGCTCCTAGATAGTCTCATAACTGAGCTAGTCAGCATAAGTGCTAAAATTTGACCACTTGGAACTCTCAACCTCCCCAGTGGGGAAGGAGGATTAAGCTCTTGGCTTGCCCTGTAATCTTAGCACAACCAAAAATTGGTAGTTTGAGCGTCCAGATTCTGGTTACTAGGAGAGAAGTAATGTGAATTCTATGCTCACTCCTGTGTTTCTCTCTTCCATTTTGTGTGTGTGTGTGTGTGTACACTCAAGGCAAGAGACTGCATACACGCAATACATAAACATCAAAATCTCTGTTCTGTGTAATCAGCAAATTTTTAAATCAGGCGAAGGTGTTACAAAACCTCCAAATTTCGTAGCAGTGTTGCATAAGAGTGATAAGATAAGCTTATAGATTTGGGGTTACAGCGATCCTCTGAGATGATGCCTGTTAAGTCTGGTGTTAATGAGAATTGATGTGACTAGGTTCTAGGTTACCCAGTTGGTATTCAGAGGGGGGAGAAATATCACACATTTGCTGTTGGATTTAATGTATTTCATCAACTAGTGTGGGGGATTGTGTTAATGTGAAAGTAGTTTTCTAAAACATAGCTTGGATGGTTTTATTTAAACTTACTATTACTGTTCAGGGTTTTGTTTTGTTTTTTTACGAGACAGGGTTTCTCTGTATTGTTTTGGAGGCTGTTGGTCCAGCCCGGCCGAGTTTTTTTTTTTTTTTTTTTTTTTAATACTCCAGTTATATATCACAAGAAATTTTGAAACACTTTTATCATTGCTAAAAATTCTGTACTTATAAGTATCACTGTTTGTATCTCGTAGAAACCCCTGGCTTATATTTTAGGTATTTCCAATGATTGTAATATCTGGTTAGAAGGTTCAGGAATGATGATCCTCCATACCTGGTGAAAATGCCCTGTACTGGGAGCTGTGGCCTGCTCCTTTTCTCTGAAACACACATGTCCCCGCTTAGAGTTCATGTTGTTTGTGCATTATCTATTGCTATTTTAGTTCAGCTGTAGCATGGAGTGCCTAGAACTGTATGGCCCTGTTTGAAATGTTATTCAGGGATGTTATTACCAGGCACTTTTGCATAATATATTATGGAAACTTCAAAAAAAATAACTGTCTTCATACTAAATACCCTTTCTTCTCACTTTGGCAGGCAGAGAACATTTATAATGATGAAGACCCTGAAGGAAGTGTGGATCCAGAAGGACAAGGATCCTAGACAAGTCTGCACTTGTGATTTAGACTCCCCTTGTTTTCTTCTGAGCTGGATTTAACACTGGTTTGAGACACAGACTTTGTTCAGCTATATGACTACAATAGGTGCCACCAACAGTACTATTATCCCAAACCATGGGTGTTTTCTAAATCTTAACTGGGGGACTTAATTCAACAAAGCCACAGACTTATATTTCAATTTTCTTCAGGAATTTTCTAGTAACAAACCCAGCCAGGTCTAAAGTAGCTTCAGAAATGGGGCATATTATGTGTTATTTTTCTTCTTAAGCTATATCCCCAAGTTTTTCAGATTCTCAAGTAAGAGGACAGAATGGATAAGGAATTAGAGCCAAGTGAAGTAGGTGTCTGAGCCATGAGTATAAATATTGCAAGAGTCATTTTTATTCAGGAATTAGGGGAGATTCAAGTCATAGATTTTAAGGTCCTCTCATCTGGCTTTCCAGGATGCACATTTTCCTATGTAAACCAGACTCTTGGTTTCTTTAGTTAAGACCACGCGTTCCTCCTTCCCCTCATATTTTTGCTCATTAGTATATTTCTTGAGCTGTTTCCATATTATTCTTTTCCTTTCTGTGAAATGGTTTTGTTGTGCAGTTTTTTGTTTTGTTTTATGAACTTGGGACCACCAAGTTGTAAGATGTATGTTTTTAACTGACAGTAATACCACTGGTGACTGTCAAGTTGAGAAAGAGTGTATTGCTAGTTTGTATTTGTTTTTAAAATTAAATTAATCCTTGATAAGAGTTGCTTTTTTAGGAGTTAGTCCTTGACCACTATAGTTTGATGCCATCTCCAGTTTGGTTGACCTGTCTCACCATCAGGCCTGTTACTCTCCATGACTAACTGTGTAAGTGCTTATAGGAATAAATTGCTTTTCTATGAAGCCCTGTGCTGCTGAGTTTTATTTAATATCTATCAAACACCAGTCTCTGGCCTCCCAGAGTTTTTCAGATGACAATTGTTTTCCATGGTCTTGACCATCAAGATTAAAATAAACATAATAGACCCAGAACCATAAAAAGAGGAGAACTTTACTCCCGCCAGAGAAAGTGAAGGCATTACCAAACAGTACACAAGCTAGTCTTGGTAAAATTACATAGTTTTGAAGTCTTCCCTAGAGAGTTACACAAGTTTCCAAGATGTCAAAGGCAGTGTGATAGAGAACTTAAGGCAGAGTGTAGCCGGGCGTTGGTGGTGCACGCCTTTAATCCCAGCACTCGGGAGGCAGAGGCAGGCGGATCACTGTGAGTTCCAGACCAGCCTGGTCTACCGAGCGAGTTCCAGGACAGCCTCCAAAGCCACAGAGAAACCCTGTCTCGAAAAACCAAAAAAAAAAAAGGCAGAGTGTAAATTTGAAGGAGGTTGAACTGTTACAGACGTTACAGAAAGCTTGTTTGTCCAGTGTTTCTCACTGGGACCCCTATTTTGCTTTTTCTCCCCACCCCCAAAGGCAGGGTTTCTCTGGCTTTGGAAGCTGTCCTGGAACCAGCTCTCGTAGACCAGGCCAGTCTCGAACTCACAGAGATCCACCTGCCTCTGCTTCCCAAGTGCTGGGACTAAAGGTATATGCGCCACCACCAACACCTAGCACCCCTGCTTTTTTTTTTAAGAGTAGTAATTAAGAGTCTGAGCGCCTTTATCACATTTGATAACCCGATAAAATGACTGACTTTGCTTGAACTGACTAGATAACTCTCCAAAACCATTTGATTGTCTGGAAAGTCTAAATAATGAAGTGTTGGATCCAAATCCAAAGTGATTCTTGTTCTCATTGTTTTAGTGTAGTAAAAATTATCAAGCCGGGTATAATATACTTAATCCCAGTACTTGGAGGCAAAGGCAGGTGGACTTCAGTGAGTTTCAGGTCCTCTAAGACATCAGATCATTACATGGTGATACCCTGGGTGTAGGGGGGGGGAGGGTGTTTGGGTCACTCTTGGTGACTACACCTGTAGTCCCAGTAGATGGGGGGTTAGAGGCAAGATCAGGAATTCAAGGTCATCCTGACCTACATCAATTAGAAACCACCTAGACTACTTGAGACCTTGTCTCAAAAAAATAAAAATAACAAGCCTTTAATCTCAGCACTGTGATTTCAGGGCCATGTATGTGAGGCCCTGTGTCAAAAAAAAAAAATAGAAGTGACTATGTTGCCACTTTTAAGAGTAAATTATGTATGTGCAGGTGTTAAGGAAAAACAGCTTTGTGAAAGGGGTTATTTAAAATCTAATACTGATAGTACAAAGGAATTCAAGTTGTGACTCCACATAGCAAAGATTGGCTGCCTTTTGACCCCAACTGTTTTCCCTTAAATAATCTTGGTTTGGGTCAGCACAAAGCAATAAATAATCTTCACATATTGCAACATGTGGTGATACATCATTTACCCAGTGTTCAATGAAGGCTGAGAGACGTATTTCCCATTCCACAGTGCACTGAAATCAGTACCAGCAGCCCACAAAGAACCCAGATAAAATTGGCTGGTTTCTGTTTCCAGCCAACCAGTGTGTAATTTTCACAGGGTGAATTGCTTGGCCATCTGCTGGCACTCTTTGCTGTTCAAGGAAAAGTCCATCTAGTAGTGCTTTGTTATAAATACTTTGGTTCTGGGTCACAGATCCGGCCATACATTGCTAAACAGTCCCTGTAAGATTGAAAGAAATAGTTAAGTTTGCACTTTCTTTTTTTTTTTTGTTTGTTTGTTTGTTTTGTTTTTGCTTTTTTTGCTTTTTGAGACCGGGTTTCTCTGTATTGTTTTAGAGGCTGTCCTGGAACTAGCTCTTGTAGACCAGGCTGGCCTCAAACTCAGAGAGATCCGCCTGCCTCTGCCTCCCAAGTGCTGGGACTAAAGGCGTGTGCCACCAACTTCTGACTTAAGTTTGCACTTCCTACAATCCAAAATCATACACCAGAAAATTATATAACAATGAGCTTCCACCACGCGTTGGTGGCGCACGCCTTTAGTCCCAGCACCGGAGAGGCAGAGGCAGGCGGATCTCTCTGAGTTTGAGGCCAGCTTGGTCTACAAGAGCTAGTTCCAGGACAGCCTCTAAAACAATACAGAGAAACCCTGTCTCAAAACAAACAAAAAACAATGAGCTTCCAAGATTTTCTTAGGGTAGGCTGGGGAAAGATTTCTACAGTGAGGCTTATTTTTTGTTTTTGCCATGTAGCCTTGCCTGGCCTGAAGTTGATTATGTCGACCAGGTTGGCCATTAACTCAGAGATCCACCTGCCTCCTGAGTGTTGAGGTTAAAGTCGTATTCCACCATTCTTAGCTAAAATGTGACAACAGAATAGATAGTAACCTGTGTGACAGTGGGATGAGGGAGTAAAACAGACATGTGGCAGACTGCTACAGGCTTAGCACTCAGGAGACTGAGGCAGGACCGCACGTTCAAGACCAGTACGTTGTGATAGCTTAACCAAAAATGTCTTTATCCAGCTTAATTTCATACAGGTATTATAGTGCCTAGTATTCCTTGGTTTTTAGATTTTTTTTTGTTGGGGTGTGTGTAAGTGGGGGGAGCCCATGGAGGCCAGAAAGGGACATTGGATCCCTTAGAACTAGCGTTTTGAGCTGTCATATGGGTGTGGGGAACTTAGCTGCAGTCCTGCATGACCAGCAAGTGCTGGTAACCACTGAGCCATCTCTCCAGTCCTCAGTTTTGTTTCTGTGTGTACCGGGTCTGTCTTTGGAGGCTAGAGGCTCTGTATTCCCTAGAGCTGGAGTCACAGGAGTTGGAAACTGGTTAATGAAAATGATGGAAACTGAACTATGGTTCCTTTACAAAAGCAACAAATGGGGCTGGAAAAATGACTGGGCAGTTAAGAGCATTGGCTGTTCTTCCAGAAGACCTGGGTTTAATTCCCAGCACCCACATGGAGCTCATGACTGTCTAACCCTGAGTTCTGACACCCACACACACACATACACACAGGCAAAATACCACTGCAGATGAAATAAAAATGATAACAAAAGCAACAAGTTCTTTTTGTTCTTTTTCTTGGGGGGAGGCGGCTTTTCAAGACAGGGTTTTATTGTGTAGCCTTGGCTGTCCTGGAACTTGCTCTGTAGACCAGACTGGTCTGGAACGCTGAGATCTGCCTGATTAAAGGCAGACTGAAGAGATTCAAGGTGAAGCCAGGCATTGGCACATGTGCCTGTGCCTGAGGAGGCCAGAAAAGGGTGTCAGATGCCCCAGAACTAGAATTGCGGGTGGTTGTGAGCCTCCCTGTGGGATTTGGGGATCAAATCTGGGTCCGCTGCAAGAACAAGTGCTCTAAAGTGCTGAGTCATCTCTAACTTCAATCTTCTGGAAGTCCATTAGTCAGGCTATCCTGGAACTTTTTTTTTTTTTTTTTTTTTTGGTTTTTCGAGACAGGGTTTCTCTGTATTGTTTTGGAGGCTATCGGTCCAGCCCAGCCTTGAACTCACAGAGATCTGCCTGTCTCTGCCTCCCGAGTGCTGGGATTAAAGGCGTGTGCCACCATCGCCCGGCTATCCTGGAACTCTTAATGGCCAAGGATGGCCTTAAACTTATGCTCTTGCCCCCATCACCAGTTTATGAAGTGCTGGGACTTGAACCCAGGGATTTGTTCGTGCTACACATGCACTCTACTAACTGAGCCTCATCCTTTGTTTAGATTCATCGTTATCCTTTTCCGATCCATACAAAGATGGTCATCAGATCATTGTCCTCAATTGCAGGGTTATAACTCGCAAACATACAGAAAGAATGAGTTGAGGTAATTGTCAGTTTCTATCCAAATTCAACTAGGGAAGAACATAAAAAGTATAGACATCTGTATTGTATACAACTATGACAAACTTGCATTTGTTTTTGTTTTCCTGCCTGGTTATAGAACTTGCTGTCACATGTATGCTGGACAAGTACTTCACTACTGACTTATATCCATTAGAGAGTGTGTGTTTTGTTTTCAATACTTGGGATTAAACTAGGGCCCCATAGAAGCCAAGCAAACAACCTACCACTCAGCTACATTCTCCCAGCCCCTTTGAGGCAGGTTCCAAGTTTAACCAGGCAGACTTGAATGTGTGATATTCCTGCTTCAACTTTCTGAGTAGGTAGACGTGAGTGGTTTGGTTGAAGATATATACTAGGCCCTAAAGCTTCCCAACTACTGAATGAGTCCACAGTAGGGATTCATAGGGGCAGGAGAAAGATGGGTTAGCAGTTAAGAGCACACACTGATATTCCAGATGACTCAGAGTCTGGTTCCCAACACCCACACGGGCCAGTTTGTAACTGCCTTTAACTTCTGCATTCCATGGTCTCTGTACCCATACAAATTCATTATGACATAAAAATGAATGCACAAGATTGTTGATTATTTTAAATATTGACTAAGTAGTTTGGGCTCTGGGAATATCCTCAATGTTTTCTTTGTTTTTTGAGACAGGGTTTCTCTGTAGGCTTGGAAGCTGTCCTGGAACTCACTCTGTAGACCAGACTGGCCTCAAATGCATAGAGATCCACCTGCCTCTGCCTTCCAGTGTTGGGATGAAAGGCCTGTGCCACCACTGCCCAGCCCTCAATGTTTTGTTTTTTTTATAGGTAATTTATTCATGTTGGCCTCTTTTTGTCAGTCTTAGTTTGACAACAGGGTTGTCTTTTGTGCTGTACCAAGGAAACTGAGTGCTAGGGCTGGGGGAAGGGTCTATCTAGAGCCTGTATTTTGTGTGCTTTATATCTTTTTTTTTAAAGATTTATTTGTTTAATATGAACACAACATCTTGCCTCCATGTATGTCTGCATGCCAGAAGAGGACACCTGATCTCATTACAGATGGTTGTGAGCCACCATGTGGTTGCTGGGATTGAACTCAGGACCTCTGGAAGGGCAGTCAGTGCTCCTAACCTCTGAGCCATCTCTCCAGCCCTATATCTTTTTATGTATGAACGAATGTTATGCCTGCCTGGATGCCGGTGCCTGGTGCTTACAAAGGCCAGAAGAGGGCATCAGATCCTCTAGAACTGGAGTTGTAGACTATTGTGAGTTGCCATGTGAGTTCTGGAAGTCAAACCTGTGTCCTCATCGGTGCTCTTAACTGCTGAACCATCTCTGGTCACTAGATAATGGGTCTATCATATGAAAGTTCTTGCCAGGTGGTGGTGGTAGCGACACCTTTAACCAGAGCACTTGGGAGGCAGAGGCAGGTGGATCTCAGAAAGTTCAAGGCCAGCCTGGTCTACAGAGTGAGTTCCAAGGACAGTCAGAGCTGTCACACAGAGAAACCCTGTCTAGAAACAAAACAAAGATCATGGTAGATGGTAGTGCATACCCTTAACCCAAATACTTGTAAAACAGAGGAAAGTGGACCTCTGTGAGTTCAAGGTCAACCAGAGCTACATATGGTGGGACCCTGTCTCAAAAAATTACTGGTGAGATTCAGCAAAATCCTAAATGTAATTTTGAGTCCCATTAAAAATTAAAGTTTTCAGCCGGTCGTTGGTGGCCCACGCCTCTAATCCCAGCACTCAGGAGGCAGAGGCAGGCAGATCTATGTGAGTTCGAAGCCAGCCTGGTCTACAGAGTGATTTCCAGGACAGCCTCCAAAACAATACAGAGAAACCCTGTCTTGAAAAACCAAAAAAAAAAAAAAAAAATTAAAGTTTTCTTGTGCCTTTAATCCCAGCACTTGGGAGGCAAAGGCAGGCAGATCTCTTTGAGTTCAAGGCCAGCCTGCTCTCTACAAAGAGAGTTTCAGGACAGCTAAGGCTGTTACACAAGAAACCATGTGTGGAAAAACTTTTTTTTAATTTCCGAATCAATTCTGCTTGACTTTAGGTATATTTGAGACATGCACCATCCTTAAATTATTTGTTATTTGATAAATTTAGAGGCAATACTTGGGAGGCTAAGACCAGGAGTTCTGCCATGAATTCAAAGCCAGCTTCAGCTATATAGTGGGTTACATTAAAAATAATAATAGAAGGGCTTAAATAACCAGGTATAGAGGCACATGCCTGTAACAATGCAGATAGAGGTAAGAGGACCCCAAGCAAGGGTACAGGCTCCCCAGAATAAGGCATTAGTACTGTTAGGAATGCAGTGACGACCAGCAAACACCATTGTCATCTACCCACAAAGATCACCTTGGGACTGGGCCTCAGCTCCATCAGCCTGTTCCAGACTCTTGGGTAGCGTAGCCCTTGAAAAAGAGAAAGCCGTTTTCTAACTGTTCATGGGTGGACACAATTTGAAAGTCATTTCCCCCAAATGACTTTGTTTTCTTTCGTTAAATAAAATATTCCCTGAGCCCTCCCACCATCCTCAGTCAATCGTAGATGAGTCTTGGGAAGCAGAGAAAACTGACTTATATGTTGAAAGCTCTTCCGCAAGGCTGGTCCTCAGCCGCTCCATCTCCTTGTTCTTCTGCTGCTGGACTTGGACTCCACTTCGTAACTGCCTCTGTCTCTCCTCCATCTCCTCCAGCTGCTCCTGCACAGAGTGGCCACGCATTTGTGAGGGACACAATAAGCACCTGACATCTGCTACACACAGCACTTGCGCGGGGTTTGATTGGTTGCTTTGATCCCCCCCTCCCCACAGGTTTTCTCGGTGTAGCCCTGACTGCTGTCCTGGAACTCGCTCTGTAGAGCAGGCTGGCCTCGAACTCACAGAGATCCACCTGCCTCTGCCTCCTGAGTGCTGGGATTACAGGTGTGTGCCACTAGGCCCAGCTTGTATCATTGAATATTATAGCGGTATTGAGATTGATACTACCTTCATAGGATACGTTAAGAAACAAGATCCGAAGCGTCGGAGCAGGAGTTTTGGGCAAAGGGTGGGATATTGAGGCTCGCAGGACTCTGAGGCTGGTGGATTACAGCCCAAGAACTCCCCAGGGCCAGTGGCAGAAAATGAAACACCACACAGGTGACTGTCATTCCGCACAGTTCAGGATCCCTAGGCATGGAGTTCCAAGACAGCCAGGGGTACACATAAGAGACCCTGTTCCTGGGCGGTGGTAGTGCTCGCCTTTAATTCCAGCACTCAGAAGGCAGAGGCAGGCAGGTCGCTGAGTTTGAGGCCAGCCTGGTCTACAGAGTGAGTTCTCGTACAGAGTCCAAAGCTACAGAAAAACCCTGTCTTGAAAAACAAACAAAAAACCCTATAGCATTTCCTCTTCCCCTAGACTAACTCTCCTAACAATTCCTTTCCATGCCACCCCTCCTTTATTTTCCCCTCCTTTATTCCCCCTTAATAAAGAAATAAAGTTTTTAGCCTTGATTTCTTCCTTTCAAAAAAAGAAAAAGAAAGAAAGAAGTTCTGAGGCTCATGCTTTTAATCCCAACACACAAAACAGCCAAGGCTACATAGAAAATCCCTGTCCTCAAAAAGCCAAAAAAAGAAAAGTTCTGAGAGGTAGTATCTTGGCAAAGTGACACAGCTTTGAAAATGCTGGACAGTAGTGTCAGATACCTTTAATTCCAGAACCCCAGAGGCTTAGGCAGGTGGGTCTCTTGAATTCTAGGCCAGCCTATCTCGAAAAACTTAAAAAGAAAAAACTATGCCGGAGTTTTATTATTTTTTGCTTTTTTTCTGAGACAGGGTTTCTCTATGTAGCCCTGGCTATCCTGGAACTCACTCTGTAGACCAGGCTGGCCTTGCCGCAGAGATCCGCCTGCCTCTGCCTCCTAAGCGCTGGGATTAGAGGCGTGTACTGGCACCGCCTGGCAACTTGAAACTTTATTAGCAATCACTATTACTTAAATGTTGACAACAATGAAAGTGGAGCTTGAGAGATGGCTCGGCTGTAAAGAACACGCGTTACTCCCACAAAGGACGTTTGTTAGGGTTCCCAGCATCACACAGTGGTTCACAACCATTGGTAACTAGGTTCTAGGCTCCAGGCTCCAGGTCTGGGCGATCTGATGCTCTTCTCTCACCTCCATGGGGACCAAGCACACATGTGCATATACATACATGCAGGCAAGAACAAAATGGGTAAATCTTTCTGAAAAAGGGCATTCAGGGGTTTAGTGTCTGACATTAACTTAGTGCTATATCAGTTGCTGATATTCCTCATAATTCATAACTCTCTTTTAGAAACATTAAGATATTTTTAACTTTATATGGGTTGGGAGGTGTTAAAGACTTATCTGTTCTTCATTTATTGAGGTGCTTTTGTAACTAAAACCAAAGTCAAACCTGAATAAAGGGGCTAGAGTTGTAGTTGAGTGGTAGAACCCTTGCCTCATATGCCTATACCCTGACAGCCCTCGGCACTGAAAGGAGAAATGTTTGAAGAGCTAGGCTCGTGGTGCCTGTGAGTACTCTCAAAGTGAATGCTAGAGGACCTCTGAAGTTCAATAAACCATCCCATCCTTGGCTACATGATGAATCTGAGGCTAGCCTGGACTACATAAGACTGTCTTTAAAAAATGAGTATGGGATAATGATGGCTTGCATGTGTGCTGCTGAGAGTACCTACCAATTGAGTATTCTACTACCCTGAGCCCTCAGACAATAAAGGAGCGTGTCCAGCACATCTGGCTTAGACCCTGGAAGGACCAGGGCGGGGAAGCTGGGATGCAGCTCACTGGGTTGAGTGCCTTTTGTTCGCAAAGCCCTGGCTCTGACCCCACCCCCACCCAGCACTGCATAAATCGTGGCGGCCGTACATGCATTTTGGAGGTGAGGCAGAATCACAAGTCCCAGGCCAGCCTGGTCTGTCTGTGACCGTGTCTCAACAAGGTTGGGACACTGGGGACACGGTGTTGCTATGGGGAGGAAAGACCGTAAAGGGCAGTTGAGAAATACTAAGCATCTGCTGTGGGTACAGCTATTACTAGCAGGCTTTCTGACCTGAGTCAGCTTTGATATAGCACTGAGGCACATCTGTCTGTGATGCTGGACACGTGCTGACGCTCACCTTTAACCGACATTATCAGATCTTTTTTTAGTGCCCAGTCCTGCCTGGGGGACCACCTAAGAATGTGGCATCTGAAGGGAGACTTCGACACCTGCCCCAGTTTTATTAAGGAAAAGCACAGGCTGGGGTGGGGGGATGCTGCATGGTACATAAAGACAGCATGGGACCCCAGCCCGTTACCCAGACCCAAGGTCACTCTTGATCCAATGCGTTAGGAGGCCAGCCTGGAGCCCACCCACTCTATCTCAAAACCATTTTTAAAATAGCTGGGTATGGTGGCACACACCTTTAACCCCAGAAGAGCTCTGTGAGTTCAATACCAGCTTGCTCCACATAGTGTGAATTCCAGGACAGATAAAACTATGCAGAGAACCAAGCCGGGCGTTGGTGGCGCACGCCTTTAATCCCAGCACTCGGGAGGCAGAGGCAGGCGGATCTCTGTGAGTTCGAGACCAGACTGGTCTACAAGAGCTAGTTCCAGGACAGAGAAACCCTGTCTCGAAAAACCAAAAAAAAAACTATGCAGAGAACCTGTCTCAAAAAAAAAAAGGCAAAAGAAAAAAATATATATATATGGAAATTGCTTAGTCAGTAAAGCGCTGGCCACACAGTATGAGCACCTCAGTTAGTCCCCAGAAGCATGGGGAAAACACTGGTGACGCGTTTACAATCCCAGTGCCGGGAGACAGAGACAAGCAGGTGTTGGAGGCTCTCTCCAGTCTAGCTACCCAGAGACTCCACCACCCCAGGCCAGCACCTTTATGGAGAAGCAGGGGCAGGTGGGTGGAGTCACCTGATCCACATAGTGAATTCCTGGTCAGCCAAGGCTAAGTAGACTGTTATTAAAGGAAGGGTAAAGGTAGTGTGACTGGGGAAATAGCTCAGTGTTTGGTTTAGCTTTGGTTTTTCCGAGGCAGGGTTACTCTGTGTAGTCCTGGTCATCCTGGAACTCATTCTGTAGACCAGACCAGCCTCAAACTCAGAAATCTGCATGTTTCTGCCTCCTGAGTGCTGTGATTAAAGGTATTTGCCGGAGACCCTATCTCAAAAATAAATAAAAACCAAATATTTAGGAAATAGAGAATAAAGCCTACCTAAACATGTAGTTGAGACAGTGTCTCTCTGTCCAGTCACTCTGTGAGTGTCTCCCTCTACAGTGGTTCCTTTGGCCATAGTCTATTTCTGTTCCTTATTACTCTAATTCTGACTTCACAAGAAGACTTGGGTCAAAGGGAAATGTTAACGCTGAGCATGATGACTCACCCCTGTAATTTCAGCATATGAGATACTAAGGCAGGAGGAGCAAAACAAACCAATAACTCACTCTCTAATGTCTTTTTCTCCAAGTACTTTCTCTTAACCCTCATGCTTAATATCTAGGGTCACTATGTAGACCAGGCACCTGCTTCTGCCTTCCAAGTGCTGGAATTAAAGATGTGAGCCACCATACTGGGCTTGGTTAACATCTATGTTAATTTTTTTTTAATGTACACTAATGTTTTGTCTGCATGTATGTCTGTGTGAGGGTGTCAGATCTTGGAGTTACAGACAGTTGTGAGCTGCCATGTAGGTGCTGGGAATTGAACCCAGGTCCTCTGGAAGAGCAGTCAGTGCTCTTAACCACTGAGCCATCTCTCCAGCCCATCAATATACTTTAATAAACTCCAAAGTCAGCTCCGCAGTGGTGGCGCACACCTTTAATCCCAGCACCTGGAAGGCAGAGGCAGGAGGATCTCTGTGAGTTTGAGGCCAGCCTGGTCTACAGAGTGAGTTCCAGGACAGCCTCCAAAGCAATACAGAGAACCAGAACAAACAAACAAGCAGACAAAAAATTACTGTATAGCTATGAGCCTGGCAACACTGTAAGAGCTTTACAAATAATAACTCACTTGATGCAACCTGTGAACTGACCATCAATCCTATTTTTGAAAAATATAATGTGTACTCTGGACTGGAGAGATGGCTCCGAGGTTAAGAGCACTGGTTGCTCTTACAGAGATCCTGAATTCTGTTCCCAGCAACCACATAGTGGCTCACAACCATCTATAATAAGATCTGGTGCCCTCTGCTGGCAGACAGGCACACATGCAGGCAGGCATACATGTAAGCAGAACATCGTATACATAAAAAAATAAGCAGTCAGATCACTGTGAGTTCAAGGCCAGCCTGGTCTACAGAGCAAGTTCCAGGACAGGCAAAGCTGCACAGAGAAACCCTATCTCAAAAAACCAAAATAATAATAATAATAACAATAACAATAATTTTTTTTGGTTTTTCAAGACAGGGTTTCCCTGTGGCTTTGGAGGCTGTCCTGGAACTCGCTCTTGTAGACCAGGCTGGTCTCAAACTCACAGAGATCCGCCTGCCTCTGCCTCCTGAGTGCTGGGATTAAAGGCATGCGCCACCACCCATCACCCAGCAATAATAATATTTTTAAAAATAAAAAATAAATAAAATTTAAAAATAATGCATATTCGTGTAACCCTCAATGTGTGTACATGTGCATGCAGTGTCTAGGCTGTCAGAAAAGGATGTGGATCCCTCAGAGCAGGGTTACGGCCGGTGTAAACTGCCCTGTGCAGATACTGGGAATGACCTCTGGAAGAGCAGCAAGCTTCTCAGCCACCGGCCTTTCTCCAGCCCCAGAAATTCCACTTTACTGCCTCTTGGCCGTTGGATCCTGTTTTACCTGAGGGAGTGGAGCCAGGATTAGCAGTTGGCTCTAAGCTCACCCCTCATTATGGCTACTTTCCTTAGACACAGGCTCTTCCCTGTGAAACCCCAGAAGGCCAGACTAAAGTACCCTTCCTGGCACTCCACACTGCCGTGTGTCAAACAGACGTTTACAAAAGCAAAAACAGGAATGAGGGAGGGGCTGGCATAAGTCAGGGAAGAAAAGGGAGAGGATGATTGTGATCAAAATGTATGATATACAAACAAGAAATCAGCAAAGAAGTTTTGGGGTTTTTTGTTTTTGTTTTGTTTGTTTTGTTTTGGTTTGGTTTTTTTGAGACATGGGTTTCTCTATGTAGCCCTGGCTGTTCTCAAACTCAGAAATCCACCTGCCTCTGTCTACCAAGTGCTGGTATTAAAGGTGTGCACCACCATTGCCTGGCTGTCAAAAATTTTTTAAGATTTATTTATTTATTATGTATATAGTGTTATGCCTATATGTATGCCTGCAGGGCATAAGAGGGCACCAGATCTCATTATAGATGGTTGTGAGCTACTGTGTGGTTGTTGGGAATTGAAATCAGGTCCTCTGGAAGAGCAGTCAGTGCTCTCAATCTATGACCCATCTCTCCAGACCCATCTTTTAAATAGAGTATTTGGAGTAGACAGGGAAGGGGGTCTGCGACTTCAATGAAAACTTGGGTGAAGAAGATGACTCAGCAGCTGAGTACTTGGTGTGGAAGCATGAGGCATGAGTTCAAATCCCCAGAGCTCTTACAACAAGCTCAAATGTGACCACACACATCTGTAGGCCTAACACTGGGTGGGAGTGGCGCTGGCTACTAATCGCTTGGTTTTTTTGTTCAGTAAGGAATCTCTCGAAGGAACAAGGTGGAGAGTGACAGAGGGGGTCACCCTGGCCTCTCAGCATGTACAGGCGAGCATACCTACACACAGGCATACACACCAAAAAAGGAAATCACTGATGGAAAATTATTTACATCTACCACTCCACCCTGTCTGTCTCTTCGTTCCTTACGACTCAGCCACGCTGACTTCACTTCCCATGCTCTCCGATGAGCTGTCCCCTCTGCCTGGAATACTTGTACTTAATCATTCGGTGAACTCATCCAAGGCCTAACTGCAACGCTGCGTGGAGAGAGTGGACGTGCTTACATCACTTGGTGACATCCCCAGGCCATCACTCTGGAACTGCAGAACACTAAACAGATGGCTTCTCTGCCTCCCCTCTCAGTGTGCAAACATGTCATACCTCCCGGAGGTGTAAGAAGTAATGAGAACTCTAAGTACGTAATAGCCATTGATAATCTTCTGCCATCCCTTGCTCCCCCAGGCAGGAGTGAGCATACCTGCTTCATGTATACAGAGTCGTTCCTACTGCTGTCCCACTGCTTAGCACATCGAGGTGTGTTCACTTCAAACTTCATATTACACTGAGTCTAAGACTTTCGTATTTGACCATCTCAAATCAAGCATTTTTGGTGGTGGGGGGGACCCTCGGCTAGAACCCACTATATAGACCAGGCTGGCTTCGAATTCAGAGATCACCTGCCTTTGCATGTTGGCATTAAAGGCGCATGTCACCATCTCAGGCCTCATTTTTCTCCTTCTGTGTGTGCAGTACCAGAGGTCAAGCCCAGGGCGTGTGCATGCCAAGCAAGCGCTCTACCACTGAGCTACATCCCCAACTTAGGAAGCCTCTTTAGCATGATGTTTACATTTTATGAAAATGTTCATTTTGTCTGGCATCTCTCCCAGGCTGCAAACTGGGAGAGCAGCAGCACCTCATGCCCGATTATTTCCTGTCTCTCTTGCCAGCATCTTAGCCTGATTCATACTAGACGCTTAGAAACTGTGAATGGACAGATGATGGAGGTGGATATGTCGGCAAACCGACTCTAAGAGTGCAGGCCCAGCCTGAGAAATTCCAGAGCACCCTTGAAACGTAACCAGAATGAAATAGGAGAGTCTGTCAAACACTGTTTAGGAGCCCTTTGAGAAAAAAAGAATTTGGAGCTAGGCATGGTGGTCTAGCCCTTGAAACCTTAGCAGTGGAGTTTGAGACAGGAGAACGGAGTCTGAGGCCAGCATGTACTCTACAGCATGTACTCCAAAACAGCATATCGAGGGCCAGAGAGATGGCTCTTGCAGAGGACCTGACTTCAATTCCTGGAACCCACATCAGGTAGCTCTCAACCACCTATAAGTCCAGCTCCCAGGGGATCCCATGCCTCTAGCTTCTGAGGGCCCCTGCATTCATGTGCATATAACCAAACAATACATATAATTAAAAATAAAATTTTAGCTGGGCATAGTGGCTCGCCTTTAATTCCAGAACTGGAGAGGCAGAGGCAGACAGATCTCTGTGAGTTCAAGGTCAGCCTGGTCTACAGAGTGAGTTCCGGGACGGCCACAGTTATACATAAACCCTGTCTTGAAATACCAAAAAACAAATAAGTAAAAATAAAATCTTTTGAAAAATCATAAATATTGCAGTAAAATACTCAGTAAACTGAATGCAGCCATTTTCAAGATTTCTCTTGAGGGAAAGATATGCAATTTTAAGTGTATCCAAGAAAATATAGGTTTTAAAAGGCAAAAGTAGCAAGTTAGACACGATGGTGCATGTCTATACTCCCAGAATTTGGGAGGCTGAGGCAGGAGGATGACAAGCTAAAGGACTGCGCACTGGAGGGAGACAGGAATGTCAGGAACTTCAGGTCACATTTACTTTGAGGCCAGTCTGGGCTACTTGAGACCGTGTCTGAGAATAAAACAAAAGCCTGCTGTGAAAGGTCCCGTGGAATCTTCCTCAGCGTGCCTAGCAACACTTAACTGAGCATTTGCCTCATGTGGCCCCTAGGCTGCTCAGCAGGGAATAAAAGGAGATAAGTAAAGATAGCCCCAACCTTCTGCACGCCCAGTCTGCAGTGGCAGACGTAATTGTTTATCCACTCAGTATTTATATCCTACTCTTCTAAAATGGGGTTAGAACTGGCTCACACTTAATCAGAAATAACTCGGGATACAACGGATATGGTGACATGTACAAAAAAGGAAAATGCAGAGACTCCATCCCAAACCCTGGGCAGCTCTAAGGTGGAGGGTGGCCAGGTGGTACCTGAGGGTGAGCATGCCCGGTAGAGGGGGTGACCTCATTGCACTCAGCCTCTCTAGCTCTCCCTACAGCCAAGCGGATTCACTGTTCAGTTAGAATTAGAAAAGGCTTCCGTGAAAGGGACACTGAAGTACTTAGGGCTGGGCAGGCACAGGTTCAAACTACCTTACTGAACCCCAGTTTCTTTGTCTATAAAAACCTAAGAATCCAAGCCAGGTTTGAGAGCCCACTGTACCCTGGTAGCACAGGCTTGCAATCCTAGCTACATGAGAGGCTGAAGCAGGGAGATCTCACATTCAAGGCCTGCCTGAGCTACTGAGTGAGTTCAAGACTAACCTAGTCAAATTAGGCCCTGTCTTAAGTAAAAAGAGGACTGTGGTCTCTTTCCCGCTGTTCCTCTAGGGCAGACAGGACTTTTCCTGTCTCCCTCCTCTCTTCTGTCTTCTCTCTGTGTCTCTTTACCTCTTTTCTTACCTCCCCCTCAATAAAACTTTCAATATGAAAAAAAAAAGAGTACTGTGGGAGGCTGGAGAGATGGCTCAGAGGTTAAGAGCACTGACTGCTCTTCCAGAGGCCCTGAGTTCAATTCCCAGCAACCACATGGTGGCTCACAACCATCTGTAATGAGATCTGACACCCTCTTCTGGCATGCAGGAATACATGTAGAGTACCATGTACATAAAATAAATAAATCTTAAAAATGTATTAAAAAAAGAGGATTGTAGGTAAAGCTCCATGGTAGAAAGCTTGCCTAGCATTGGGTGAAGCCCTGCCCCCTCCCCAGAGCTATATAAACCAAGAGTAAAATTAACTGTCAGCCTGGTATGGCGGCTAGAGAGATAGCTCAAGGGGATAAGAGGGCTTGCTGTTCTTGCAGTGGGCCTGAGTTCAGTTCCCAGCACCCTCATGGTAGCTCACAATCATCTGTAACCACAGATTCAGGGGAATCCATCGCCCTCTCCTGGCCTCTTCGGGTACTACATGCACATAGCTGTCCTGGAACTCACTCTATAGACCAGGCAGCCTTGAACTCACAGAGATCCTCCTGCCTCAACCTCCTGAATGGTGGGATTAAAGACATGCGCCACCACTGCTCGACATTAATAAGATTTTTTAAAAGGGGGTGGGGAGAGGATATTAGTGATAGAGTACTTGCCTAACAAGCGTGAGACCCAAACACAGGAAGAGCTGTGTAAACCAAGAATACAAACACTGGTCAAATCCTAACACTGGCCTTAACTAAATGAAATTAATGCAGGACCCGGGGGAAGAACAAGTTAGTGGGCCCAAGAACAGGTTCTTTTTTCACAGTGAATGGTAACTCCAGTCCCAAAGACATTAGGTCTATCTGGGCATGGTGGTCACACCTTTAATCCCAACACTCAGGAGGCTGAGGCAGGTGGGTCTCTGTGAGGTCAGCCTGGTCTACAGGGTGAGTTCCAAGACAAGCCAGGGTTACACAGAGAAAATTTGTCTTGGAAGGAAAAAAAAAGTCATCAGACTTCCATTCACCTAAAAGATGTCACTTCTGCTGACTGTGGTGGCACACACCTATAATCCCAGCACTCCGAGGCTGGGGCAGGAAGAGTATCAAGTTCCTCAAGGTGTCCAGGCCAGCCTGGACTACATGGTCAAACTCTGCCTCTCACAGAGCCCACAGGCCTACCCTGTACTGTTGAACCTCTTCGTCGCGTTTGTGCCTCACGAGCGTGATCTGGTCCTCCAGGTTCCTGTTCTGAAGGTGGAGCTGCCGGGCCTCTGCTTGCAGGGGTCTCAGAGCCTCCTTCATCTTTTGGATCTCCGCTTGAGTGTCCTGCAGAGCTTTGGTCCCTGCCTCTTTCCTCTCCAGGAGCCGCAGCAGCTGAGGTTCATACTCCGCTTCAAGGCCCTGGCGGCTCTCGGCCATGAGGTTTTCAAACTGCGTCGACAGCCTCCGACTCTCCTGCAGGAAGTGCCCGTCGCTCTGGGTTGGGGATGCTTCGAGCTGTTGCTGCAACTGCTCCTTCTGTTTCTGGTAGGCATCTCGGAGCTGGGTCAGTTCTCCCGAGAGCTGGGCTGCCTGGGTGCTCAGCGCCTCCCTGCAATCGGCAAACTGAGCCACGTCCTGCTGGCGGCACTCCAGCTGGTATTGGTAGGCCACGCATTCCTTGGTCACCTTGAACAGTTTCTGCTTCACCATCCGGATCTCTTCCCTGAGGCCATCCCGCTCCAGCTCCGCCTGTGCATGCTGCTTATAGGCAGCCAGGATGTCCTGGTGGACTTGCTGTACCTCCTGCAGGGCTGGTTCCCGGAGCAGCACAAGCTCGTGGATAAGCTGGTCCCTCTCCTCTTCCAGCTGGGATACAGCTTGTACACACTGCTGGAATCGGCCTTCCAGCAGCTCCAGGTCCTCGCCACTGAGGTCCTCCTCTGTGCTGGGATTCGGTGGAGCTGGAAGGCCTTCCTCCAGGACCACCATCTCTCTCTCACAAGCAGTCTGCTCTGGGCTTAGGCTCTTAGCAGGCTCCACAGGCTTCTCTGAACATTGTACCTCTGTCTTCACAGGATCCTCCACAAGCCGGGTCTCCTCTGGACTTGCAGGCTCTTCCAGGTGCAGAGCCTCCTCTGGCTGCCTAGATTCTTCGATAAATAGCATCTCCTCCGGCTTCTCAAACTCTTCCACGTAGAGACTCTCTTCAAAGTCCCCCGAGTCCCCCAGATAGAGAATGTCATCAAGGTTCACAGTCCCCTCCAAAGATAAAGTGGCCTCTGGGTTAACAGTCATGGTCTCCTTCGGGGATTGGGGGTCCTGAAGAGAACTGGTCTCTGTACCTGCTTCCCTGCAAGAGAGGTGATGGACAGTGAAAGCCCAGCTGTGCCCCTTGATGTGGTAACAGGGCCTCCACCCCAGGGCTAGCTGCAGTAGGTCCTCAGTCTGTTACCCACTCCCTTCCCATCCGCCTCCTCTTGCACACACAGCTGATGACATCACTGGCTAGTTTCTGCCCAGCCACTTCAAGAGCAGGAAATTCACTCAGATACAGCTCAGTGTTCCACGGTTCTACACAGCGCATCCAAGGAACAACACAGAAAGACTGTCTTAGAAAAACAAGGAGAGACAAACTTGATAGTGCATGCTGCAAACCCAGCACCCAGGAGGTGGAGGGAGGGGGTCAGGAATTTAAGGCCAGCCTCAGCCACTTGGTGACTTTGAGGTCAACCCGGTTTCATGAGAATCTGTGCCCCCACACACAAGGGGGTCAGGGAGTGGCTCAGCAGATAAAGGCACTTGCCACCAAGTCTGATAAACTGAGTTAGATCCTTGGTGTCCAAATGGAGAGAACCAATTTCTACCCAGGAGTGCACGCACACGCACCCTTGCACACACATACATGCGCATGCACTTGAGGACACACTCATACACATACACACACAGACATTATAGGCATTTTGGACGGATCGGGTGGGACAGGTATTCTGGCACTAGAGAGTCACAGAATACTGAGTGTTACACAGCTCAGATGGAAAGGTATCTTGGAGCTCGGCAGCCAAGGACTACCACAGGTTGTAGTAAGCTTAGCAGCTTACAGTCCTGCCTCAGGAAAGGCTTCCCCAGTGTATCCGCTCTGCTCTGGCAGGAGCCGGTCTTCCAGCTGGGGATGTTTGCCCAGTGTAGCAGTTTTGCTCCTGCAGAAGGTTTCCCAGGTGACGTTGCTACAGTTCAGCTCTGCTCCCAGGAGAGTGGAGAGCTGAGTGTAACAACTCTGCTCTGCCAGGGGAAATTTCCCCAGCAAAAGTGTTACAGCCCTGCTTGCTCTGCTCTGTCCAGGGTCGTCTCTGTTCCATTGCAAAAGAAGATCTTCACCGGAAGCTCATCCAAGGGGTTTATTGGGAAGCAAGAATCCAGGAGAGTGGTTACCCTCTGCCAGAGAGACAGAGGACAGCCGAGTAGCACGAACAGCCACAAGCTGAACAGACACAGGGTTTATATAGGGCTTCCAGGGTAGGGATTGGTCAGATTTTAATACTGAGCTCAGATTGGCTAGAGCTCCTGCTCCAGGATTGCTTAGTTTTCTGCACAGGGTTAGGGTCAGATTTGGCTCTGGTTTCAGGGCCAAAGTTTGTTTCTTTCACTGGTCCTTTTTAGCCTTTTGGCTCTAGTTTTAGGGCCAGGGTGCATTTCTTTCACTGGCTCTGATTCCAGGAACAAAGTGTGTTTCTTTGGCACTGCTTTCAGGGTCAGGGTACATTTCTTTGGTTCTGGTTGCAGAGCCAAAGTGTGTTTCTTTGGCTATGCTCGGCTGGTCCCTTTTCCCTACATACATACTCACACACACATTCACACACACACCTCTCTCACCCTCACACACTCACACACATACACACACCCCAAATAAATAAGTAAATAATTAAAGGGGATGCTGAATGCATGGTTCAGCAGTGAAAAGTGACGCTGCTCTTGCACAGGACCCAAAGTTTGGTTCCCAGCATCCTTATGGTGGTTCACAGGCACCTGTAACTTCAGTTCAAAGAAATATGACATCCTTTCTGGCCTCATGTGCCCCTCCCCACATATATACCAAGAACAGGGGGCTGGAGAGATGGCTCAGAGGTTAAGAGCACTGCCTGCTCTTCCAGAGGTCCTGAGTTCAATTCCAAGCACCCACATGGTGACTCACAGACATCTATAATGAGATCTGGTGCCCTCTTCAGGGCATGCAGGGAGAACAGAACAGAAATCAGTGGGAGAATCAGAGTCTGCTCCTCACCGGGGAGGCAGGGGTCCCAGAAGCTCCACATATACACACACGGGCAAAGCAATATATACATAAGATAAAAACATGTATGCCAAAAATTTAAAAAAAACATTTTGGAGACAGGGTTTCTCTCTGCAGCTTTGTAGACCAAGCTGACCTCAAACTCATAGAGATCCACCTGCCTCTGCCCCGAGTGCTGGGATTAAAGGCATGCCCCACCACTACCTGGCCCAAAAATAAATTTTAAAAATTGAATCTAAAACCAAATAAATAAAAACAAAACCCACTGCCGCTGAGCAGTGGTAGCACACATCTTTAATCCCAGTACGCAGGAGATAGAGGCAGTTGGATCTCTGAGTTTGAGGCCAGTCTGGTCTACAGAGGGAGTTCCAGGACAGCTAGGGCTACACAGAGAAATCCTGTCTCGAAAAACAAAAACAAAAACTAACAAGCAAAAGGAAGGCCTCCAATCCCCTGGAACTGGAGTTATGAGTGGCTGTGAGCCACCACATGGGAGCTGTGAACCCAATCCAGGTCCTCTGGAAGAACAACAAGTGCCCTTAACAGCTGAGCCTTCTCTCCAGTCCCAAGCCTGGAAGTCTTAACAATCCTCCTGCCTCAGCCTCCCAAGGGCTGAGACTACAGACATGCGTCACCATGCTCAGAGTTATAAAGAGGTGGCCCTACCTCACCATTTTTAGCCTCATCTCACATCACCCCTGCAACGCCCCCAGCACCTGACAACCCAGAACATGTGGTAACTTTTTACACCTCCTACTCAAGGCCCACAATATCTGAAGGATCTAGCTGAAGAATGCAACTTCCTAAATACCAATCTGCCTAAAAACACTAACTAGAGCTACCAGAGAGGGCAGAATTCCTGGCACCAGGAAGGAGCACCTGCTGGGGCAGGCAGGCCCACCTGTCCTGCTCTGCCAGAGTTCCCGCCTTCCCAGCTGATGGCCTTTGCATCGTGCTCCTCCTGGGAATGACTTAACCGCGTTCAAGACACTGTTCTAAGCACTTGCATGGATGCTCACTTGTAAACTGTTGGCTGTTACGCCCAGTGCAGAGACTAGCAAGCCAGAGTGCAAAGCCTGGAAAGCAACCTGAGGTACCACAGAAGAGCACAGAGCCAAGCCCTCTGTCCAAGGCGAGGCATAGGCCTAAAAGAAGGTTTGGAACATCCCAATCAGAATGTCTGTCTTCCTCCCTCCCTTCCTCCCTTCCTCCCTCCCTCCTGCCCTCCTGCCCTCCCTCCCTCCTTCCCTCCCTCCCTTCCTGTCTGTCTGTCTGTCTTTCTCCGAGGCAGGGTTTCTCTGTGTGGCCTTTGTTGTCCTGGAACTCGCTCTGTAGACCAGGCTGACCTCAAACTCACAGAGATCCACCTGCCTCTGCCTCTGGAGCACTGGGATTAAATGCACATTCCACCACCACTGGCTCAGAACATCTTTCTAGGGTCCAGGTGGTGATGGGGTTGTAGTGCTAAGGGGGGTGTAGGGCTGGGGATGGGGTCAGGAGGTGAGGCTGAGAGGGGCAACACTTGTCTAGCATATAGAGAAGTACTAGGTTCATTTCCCAGCCCAGGAAAAAAAAATTGGTTTAGTTAGCAAATGTCTAATCACTGTCCAACTCTATCCACTCTGTACCATATCTAAAACAAGACCCACTGTGTCCTCATGACATTCTGAAAGTAGCCCATCTTCAGGAACAGTGGCTTTGCCTTACGGAAGCACACATGTCCGTTGAATGAGAGTGGACATCCTGAGGACAAGACTAGTTGTCTGTGCCCTAGTGTGTGGCCCTTGGAAGGCAAGCAAAAACCAACTGAAGTCGAGGGGAAATTTGTCCAAGGTCAAGTGGCAGGTCTAAGGTATAGAACCAGGCCTCCTGATTTCCAGGCTGGGCTGCCACGCCACCCTGGTGCCAGATGTGGTCCTCAGCTAGCTGCTTCTCTACTGAGCTGGCAAAGAAGCAGATTACAGGAGGCCAAGCAGAGAGGGAGTGTTCAGCAGCAGCCCCTGACCTCAGCGCCACCGCCACTCTGTCCTGTCCCCAGAGGACTTGGCCAACTCCTTAACACTGTCCATCAGACTGTGACTGGATGTGTGTGTGTGACATCATGCGAACAAGAGCTTGTGCCTGACTTCAAGCTCGTTAGTATGTGTGTGGACAATTCAGGCAAAACGTATGTGTTAAGATCCAGTGTAACTTTACCTTCACACGTGACAACAGAGGGCACCAGGAAGTATTCCCACAATTTGAGACACTGGGAAGTCCCTGGGCCACAGTATGACTTGGGGCAGAACGACTCCATAATCACCAGTGGTAAGGCCCAAGGTGGACGGCTGCCGGGTTAGGAGAACAGTCTCTCTATAGGCCTCCACCCAAGTCACACCAGGAGGAACAAGCTGGCTGAAGACTCTTCAAGCTGGCAGGTGCCCAACCCTGCACCGAGTGGCTCAGATACAGTGAATTCTCAAATGGTTTCTCCCTTGCCCCAAGAACAAGTGAATGTGAAATAAAGGAAAATAAAAATAAAACTTATACTATCCTTGGTCAGTTGAGCCAAGTAAATTTTGACAGGTTGCTAGCCTGAAAAGAACTAATGCTCACGCAGCCCGTGGAAGGAGACTCACAAAATACCACAGACCACCGGAGGTGTCAGGTCCCGACGCCAAGGCCTCCCGGCTCCCTTCCCCGGGTGGCTCCGCCCCATGCCACACCCGGGCGGGACCACCACCCACAGTGAGGAGGAGGGGGCCGCGGGTTGGGGATGGGAGCCCACCTAGCACCCCCTCTCCTCCTGGATGGCGATACGGGCCCTGGAGGATCCTACCTCGCAGCCCGGGCGCCGTCCCCGCCGGGCAGGGGTTCCGGACTGGCCATGACTGCCCGACCCCGGGCTCGCCCGGAGCGTTATTAATAGCCGGCCCTGCCGGCGGCTGTGCCGGTGCCCGCGTCCGCCGCACTGTCAGCTGCAGCCGACACCAGATCCCGGCGACCCGGGCCGGACGCGCCCACTTGGCCCGGACCATCTCCCGCGGGAGGAGGGCGCGGGCCGCAGGGGGGGCGGGGAGAGGGTGGGAGGGGATGGGGGGTTGGGGTGGGGTGGGATGAGGGGCGGCCCAGAGGCGCTTCCGGAACCTTCTCTCCACCTTTCATTCTGGCCGGGGTTGCTTGGCGAGGAGAGGAGGGGGCTGTGCAGGAGGCGGGGGGTGGGGGAAGGTTTAGTTGTGGGCCACCCTGCAGGACCCAACGCCCTGCGATCCCCACCCGCGCAAGGCCTTGGAGAGAGGCCACCCTCCCGGTGTCCCGCAGCTGTCGTGAAGGGGTGGGGCAGGGCGCCTGCTGGAGAAGGGGGGGGGGGATTGCTCGTCACACCCCAAGCGTCTGATGACAGCTGGGGGACATGGCTGGAGTTAGAGAAGGGCTGAGAAAGAACTGCAAAAAGGCTTAAGGCCATAAAGTTAAGTCTGTGTTTAATTCAGGTCACACAAACTGAGAGGTTTCCTGGGGGTCTTCCTAGAGCTCCACTTGTGGCTCCGACTCAGTCGCTTCTGTCGTGTTTCAGGGCATATGTCTACGCCTAAGTCCTTGGCCCACCAGTGCCCGGGGCAGACTTCCACGCTGAAGGCACTCTCCCCCTCCCCCCCAGTAAGAGCTGCTGGGCCCCAGGCATTCTTCCTCTGATTATTTTTTCCCCACTTAGTCTGGGAGGAGGGCTTTGATTCAACTGCAGAAGAATGCTGTGCACCCAGCAGGTCCAGGCCATGAGGAAGGAGGCTGGACACCGGTTTAATCAGATCCTTGAGCAGCGGATGGGGATGGAGAAGGAGAAATGATGCGGATGTGTTGACCCGGTGGCTTGTGCATTCTGTTCCACGTGCCCACAGCTGGGAACATCTGGTAAAGGTTCTGGGTGTGGAGCAGGAGGTAGATCTAGGCTTGTAGACCCCATGTGGCTCTGTTCCTGTCCTGCGTGGTCTTGCAGCTGTGTGACTTGATAGCAGGCTGAGTGTGTACGATTGTGCCAGCTGTGAGTGTTCTTAGGGAAAATGGACACCAGGCTGCATCGACTGGGGAGCAGGTGGGAAACCATGTGTGAGTGTGTGTGAGCCTGACTGGGCTGGCATGTGCCAGTGTGGCAGCTGAGGGGTAGGGGTAGGTGTGTGACTGCAGCTGTGTGCTGGGGTGCCTCCTGTGGCCATGTTTTTCATGGTTTTGTAGTGTGCCAAGGGGAGGATGCTTAACCACCCAGAGCAACCCAATATACCCATGTAAGGTATATGGGAGAATAGTGTTTTGGAGGCTGCTGGTCATTTTCTGACTTACCCCTGAAATATTCCAGGGGAGGATGTTGGCGGGGCCTCCCGCTGCTTGCGGGCAGCTGTTGCCAGTCAGAGAGAAGGAAGGGAGCAAGGGCAAGGCCTGCCTGCCAGCCGGCTGTTTATCGAAGGTGCTAAGCAACAGGCTGCAAGGGCAGAATTCACGGGGGCTGCCTCTTCCCCTCCAGCAGCCTTGCCCAGAAGCTGTCACGGTGTCCCCAAGGCCGCATCCTTAACTCCTGGCAGCCCCCTCTAAGCTCCTTAGGGTGAGAAACTGAATCCCTACGAAGTCCCAGAAGCTCCTTCAAGCTTGGACCTTTGTCCTTGCTGCTGTGTCCCTCTACAGTGCCCTCTTCAGCTCCTGCTCTCTCAGAACTCAGTATGTCATCTCCTCAGAGAGACATCCTTCCGTCATGCTATCCACGCACCCACGACTTTCTGAAGCTACACCTGCAGGGGGATCCCACACTTCTGGCCTCCTCAGGAAGGTGTACACACATGGATATACAGACACAGAATTAAATAAAATAAATCTAAAAAAAACCCAGCCGGGCATTGGTGGCACACGCCTTTAATCCCAGCACTAGGGAGGCAGAGGCAGGAGGATCTCTGTGAGTTCGAGACCAGCCCACAGACTCTAAAACAATACAGAGAAACCCTGTCTCCAAAAACAAAAACAAAAAAACCAATAGTGTTTTTGTTTGTTTGTTTGATCTGGTTGGAGGGGTTGCATTTCAAGACAGGGTTTCACTTCACAGCCTTGGCTGTTCTGGAACTAGTTCTGTATACCAGGCTGGCCTCAAACTCCCAGAGATTCACCTGACTCTGCCTCTGAAGTGCTGGAATTAAAGACATGTGCCACCACTGCCCTGCTAATAGTGTTTGGTTGTAATTCCTTTCTTTCCTGCTTCCTCCACTAAAATGGAAGCCCCATGAGGACAGGGACAGTGTCACTTATTCAATGCTGCATCCTTGCATGTCACAGAAAGCTTTGTTGGATGGTTTCAGTAGGTGAGAACACTGCTGAGCAAGCCTGGCAACTGAATTTAGTCCCAGAACTTACCCATGTAGAGGTGGGAGAAGAGAACAAATTACACACAGTTGTCCTCTGACCTCTACACACGGCCTGTGACGCAGTGCGGCCATGCCCACACACACCTGTCGTGTACACACACACACACACACACACACAAATACACAAATAAGAAATGACATAAAAAGCCGGGCGTTGGTGGCGCACGCCTTTAATCCCAGCACTCCGGAGGCAGAGGTAGGCGGATCTCTGTGAGTTCGAGGCCAGCCTGGTCTCCAGAGCGAGTTCCAAGACAGCCTCCAAAACAATACAGAGAAACCTTGTCTCGAAAAACCAAAAAAAAAAAAGAAAAGAAAAGAAATGACATAAAATGCTTGTTGGATGGAGTACTGAAAAGAAGGCTGGATGTTGGTGTCTAGACAAATTCAGGCAACATATTATACTGGCTTCATGCCAGGATCATGCTACCCACAATTAAACAGCTCCAGTGGACCCTGGGAGAGACACATACAGACTGCATCCGCCCAGGTGGCGCTTGGTGAACAAGGTCATGGGACTCAGCCTTGGCACACATTGACGTTTGCTCTGTGCTGAGTTTGTATCAGAGCAAATGGCTTTATTGGCCCAGGTCTGCAGGAAGCTTATTATGTAGAAGATGCCAGAACTTTCTCCTGGGAATGCAAGTTTGTGTGGAGAGTAATGCCGACCACTAGGCTAAGCAATGTATCAATAGGTACAGACACCCAGGGGCCCTGCGGTGGGAGAGGTGGGACTGGGTGTCTGGGCCTGGAAGGATAAGAAAAGGATTTTCTGAGGCAGACACAGAAGGTGCTTTTAAAAACAAGTGTTATCAGGGACTAGAGAGATGGCTCAGTGGTTAAGAGCACTGGCTGCTCTTCCAGAGGACCCAGGTTCAATTCTCAACAACCACATGGCAACTCTGTAGCTCCAACATCAGACACATCTACATGCAAGACACTAGTGTACATGGAATTTAAAAAATCAATTCATTAATTAATTAATTATTTTTAAAAAGTGTGTCCATGCGGGCAGTGGTGGCTTTAATAAGAGCTAGTTCCAGGACCACCTCCAAAGCCACAGAGAAACCCTGTCTTGAAAAACCAAAACCAAAGCAAACAAACAAACAAAAAAACTGTGTCCACAAAGCTGAACCCAAGAAGAGGAGAGCAGCCAGGGCTGGTCATTCCCTGCCTAACCACAGTCTCTGTTTCTCCCCCGCCCTGCTTGCCCAGGGGCTGGTTCATGCCACAGTCTCACAGATCCCTGGCCGTCTGCCTTCAGCTGAGTTTGCCCGGAGAAGACATGGCAGAATAAGAAGGAGGGGAATGTGACCAGGATAGTCCCCACACTCCTCCCAGCTATTCTGAGGACTGGGCCCTGGGGCCTGGGACATGCCAGGTGGCACTCCACCACGGAGATATAGCCAGACCTCTACCAAAGGCTACAGCTCCTGTGTGTGTGTGTATGTGTGTGTGTGTGTGTGTGTGTGTGTGTGAGAGAGAGAGAGAGAGAGAGAGAGAGAGAGAGAGAGAGAGAGAGAGAGAGAGAGAGAGAGAGAGAGACCAAGCCCTCAGCTGTCAGCAGGTTTCCTGCTGAGACTGTCTCTGCTTCCTCCTCTGGCTCAGGGCAGTGTCCGTGGAGGGGCTGCAGATCCTGGGATACTCCCCTGTCCCTGTACAGGCCTCTGTGAAGAGCTCTTTCATGAGCCCTGTCCTAGCCAAGGCCTTGAGAGTGACTGTTTACTGATAAAACCTCCAAGGCAAGAACTGGATCCAAGGAAGCAGAGCCCTGGCCACGGAGGTTAAGGGAGGTCACCAAACACCAAAATGAGAAGAGTGTGACTGAGACTGGTATTTAGCTGAGTGACAGTGACACAGACTCAGTGCCCAAACCTTGAGTTCAACACTCGGGAAAAGCAGAAAAACAGGAGGAAGATGGAATTGGGATGTAGCTAAATAGAGCGGTTTCCTAGAAGAAGAAACTAACAGAACCAGAGAAAGAAAGACAGAAGAGAAAAGAGAGGCTGGAGAGATGGCTCAGCAGCTAGGAGCACCTACTGCTTTTGTAGAGGGCAGAGTTCAGTTCTCAGCGTAAGTCAGATGTCCCACAGCCACCTGTCACTCCAGCTCCAGTTGTGACACTCCCTTTCGACCTCCCTGGGCACCCACATGTGGCATCCTTTTTTTTTTTTTTTCCTAGACAGGGTTTCCCTGTAACTTTGAAGCCTGTCCTGGAACTTTCTCTGTAGACCAGGCTGGCCTTGAACTCACAGAGATCCGCCTGCCTCTGCCTTCCGAGTGGCATGCTTCCACACAGACATACATACTATGGTGGTTTGAAGGAGCATGGCTCCCACAGACTCTCATCTTTGAAATCTGGGTCCCAGTGGGTGGAACTGTTTGGGAAGGATTAGAAGGCGTGGCCTTGTTGGGGGAGGTGTGTCAGTGGGGGAGGGTTTCGATGTTACATCATGCACCATTCCCAGTTCTTTCTCTCTGCTTTGTGGTTGTTATCTCAACACAAAAGCTCCCAGTTACTGCTCCAGAGCCACTGGCCTGCCTGCTGCCATGCTCACAGCCAGGATGGCTGAAACTGTAAACAAGTCCCTAAATTAAATGTTGTTTTTTATAAGTGGCTGTAGTAGTTTGAATGTAATTGGTCCCCATAATCT